AAACAATGCTTCCTGCTCAACAGCTCTGAGTTTACTAATTTCAAGTTGCTAAGGGCATCCAAAAATGACTTTTTATAATGAAAACGCAAGTGTCTTGTCTATGAGAGAACTGCTCCCATGCTCTCGACTGGGTTAAACATTTCGAAAAATATTTTACTTTTTTATTTTATGTGTATTGCCTGCATGTGTGTGAGTACGACTGTGTCATTCAATGCCCTCAGAGGTCAGAAGAGAGCCTTGGATCCCCTGGGACTGGGGTTACAGATGGTTGTTAGTCGCCATGTGGGTGTTGGGAATCGAACCCAGGTCCTCTGGAAGAATAGCCAATGCTCTTAACCACTGAGCCATCTCTCCAGCCCCGGGTTAAATATTTTTAAGGAATTTATAAACGGAAGGATTGTTTCCCAAAGTTCTGCTCTACAAAGAGATTAGCTGCCACTGTGCCCTGAATCCTGGACGACACAGTTGGGGGGGGGGTCCCTTCCATCTTTTAATTCCCCTCCTGGAGGTAGAAGGTGGTAGTAAGGAGGAGAGGGCAGGGGCAGGAGCCTGATACTGCAGTTTTCCTGGAATGGCCTGGAAACTTTTGCTTTCTCTTTCCTCTGCTGATAATGACTGTCTTCAGCTCTGCAGCCAGCCCTGCTCTCCCCCTCCCAGCCCCCTGTTGCTGCAGCCATCCCCGAGCTCCAGTATAAAGTTTGGCTTTTGCAGCAGGAAGCAGCTGGGCCAAGCAACCAGCGAATGATAATGACCTTAGAAATCTGCTGTTCACTCGGCAACAATAGGGTGCTCAGTCTACTGGAAAATTGTGTTCATCAGCTAACTCTGCTCAGTTACTAATTGACATTGCCAAATATTTTAAGAACAATTGGAATGCACAAGCAAAAAAAAAAAAAAGAAAAAAAAGAAAAAGAAAAAAAAAGAGATCTTAATCCTCAGACTTAAATTTTTTCTTTTTCTTTTTTTTTAAATCATCACCTTTTGGGGTGCTTGGATTTGTATGTGTGGAGCAGGCAATGGTTATCATGGATGGGGGTGGGGATGGTGAATCACAAGAGAAAAAAGAGGTAGAAAAGAAAGAAAATCTATCATATCGCTATACACCCAATGTATTGCAGGGGAGTCTGGATAAAGGCTTTTGATGCAGCGGTCAATGGGCCTAGGCAGGATGGAGACCCAGCATCTTAGGAATGCACTCCAGCAACAAAAGACCGACCCCTGAGGCTTTTAGCCCAGCTGATCAAATAATCCTCGTCCATCTCAAAATATTATACCAGAATAAGTAGGGGTTAACGATATTTCCATCTTTGCATCTCTCCCTGGCTTCCATTGATCATGCAACTTTGCCGACTTTATTTAATGAACAGAGGGGTCAATGCATTCAATTACCCCCTTCCCACCATCAACACTTCAATTATCCCCACTCCAAAATGATGGGGAATTCGGAAGGTAACTGCCCTGTTGGATATAATGAACAGTATCGTTTCTTAGTACATTAAGTTTTAATTATTCTAAGCGTAATTTCCAAAGCAAAATCCGAAGAAACAGAACTTTAAGTTGTTTTCTGACTCAGAGCAAAAGCCAGGATCTAAGCCCGATCTGAGAGGAGGTTTTAGGGGAAAAGATGCAGCAACTAATGTCATCAGAGCCTTTGCCAGAAAAGAGGAGGCATCAAAACAGCCGCCCTGCTCTCTAAATGTCATAAAAGAGTAAAATTTATAAGCTGCTGGCTTTCCAAATAGTTTCTCTTTGCGTCGCACACGGAGGCAAAGATGACACGTACTATGGTGTGAAATTATGAGTGAGTCAAACAAACAAACAACGACAACAAAGGGGAAAGATGGGGATGTGATCTGTGTGGTTGGTTCTGTCCATTTTCTGTTAGAAAATATGACCTCTCAATTTGTCAAAGGTCCTAGTCGCACAGTTGATCTTAAGCCTGGTTCTCAGCAGTTTGGAGAGGCAAAGAACAAACACATTTTCTGGTTCACTGGAATCATTTTCACATGTTCTCTGATTCAGGCATTCTTTTGCTCACATAACAAACAGCTGCATCCCACATTAGCCTAGCCAGTGACAGTCGCCCATCTCGGCAATAACTGTTTGATTGCAAACTTGACCCCTTCTTCGTCTCGGTCTGAGCAAGACATTTTTAAACAGCCACTCCGTTCCCAATCCTCCTTTGCAAAGAATTACATCAGATAACAAAGGACGTCTCTGCCACTCATTGTAAGCCTTCTTCTCGAGATCCATTCTAAGAGGCTCTGGTAAAAAGGTTTTTTATGATGAATTCAGAACTACTATCATGTTAAGAGCAGCGATTTATAAAGAAGAATTCATTGGTTAAGATCTGAAAAAATAGTTTCTCAGGCCCTACTGACCCAGTTTTCAACAAAAAAAAGAATCAAGCGATGCAAATGAAGTTTTGCAACATTGTTATGCAGTCTGAGAAATTTGTAAAACCGTGTTTTGCGGTTATTTCTTAATAGAAGGCTTAATAAGCGCTTCTTTCTTTACTTAAGGGCTTAATTTTTTTTTCTCCCCTTCACCTTACAGGTTTCTCTCTGACAGGTAATAATAAAAAATACCTATTGTTTCAAGAGTTTTATTTAAATGCTTATTTTAATCACACTTTATACAAGTCACACTTGTTAGAAAGAAGAGGGAAAACTAACCAGATTTGGTTAAGAATCCTAAATCCTAGCAAAAGGCCTGGACACGCATCTGATTTGGGCCGCAGAGTGGGTACGCCACCAATTTCGCTACTTAGTCAGAAAATTATGAAAGGGTCTAATTTGAATATGAAGAAAACAAAGAAGTCAACCCGAAATGAAAGAAAGAATCGGTATTCACAATTGTAAAACCCTTCAGTAAGGGAAACGTAAGTGGGAAGATAGCACAACTCAAGTATAATTCTCTTTTGAGTCAGGAGCTTGGTTGCTTCTCTTAAGCAAAATGGGTTTTTTGGCTTTTGTTTTTTTTTTTTTTTTTTTTTTTTTTGGTGTGTGTGTTTTTCCAACAGAGTATTCTGAGAGAGAGGGAAGCAACAGAGATGGGAATAGCACAAGGCTATCACTTGGCCAGAAGGTGATAAAAACACAAAAACACGGTACACACGTCACTCATGGGGCTGAACATTTGGTGTCAGAATATTCTAAGACCTCCCCATTTTAGCAGGTCTGGGAGAGGGAATGGAATCTATCAGTATGAACACCATGTCACTCCAAAAACTTAGGGGAGCCAGTCTGCTTCCTGGTCTCTGTTCCTGGAAGGTCCCCAATCCAAGAACAGCAGAGAGAACATTCCCAGAAGAGATCCCTTTCCCAGGAGGTTGGAAAGAGTCCCTGGTGACAGCAGAGAAAGGCCTGGCACTCGCCACCCCACCGCATGGGGACCCATCTTGACAGAGCTCCCACTGGCAGGAAGGACCACTGCATGACTTCCCTAGCATGTGAGCCACTCCATGCAGCGTGACCTCATCCTCCCGTGGTTCTCACACCCTTGTTAGACTCTTCCAAAGCGTCTCATCAGTAATAAATCGCCAGCAAGTCCAGGACTCCAGGAGTAGACAGTGTGTTTCATGGGTATTTAAGCAGCAGCATTAAGTGCAATCAGAATCCCTGGAATGTGCAGCCCAGATTTATGTGTCTTAACAATTCTTTACTGGTTTGTAATAAGCCAGAACACACACACACACACACACACACACACACTTTATTTTAATACTAATTTTGTCCTAGAAGAAGGAGAGGCTGAAGCAAAGGAAAAGCAACCAAACTGTGCTAGCATGTACTTAACTGCAGCAGTGACTGCCTGTGATGGAGAGGAGAGAGGGAGAGGGAGAGGGGGAGGGGGGAGGGAGAGAGAGAGAGAGAGAGAGAGAGACTGAAGATAAAAGATTATTAAAGATGTGCAAAGTCTGTATGTGGAGGGAGGGGAAAGAGAGAGAGAGAGAGAGAGAGAGAGAGAGAGAGAGAGAGAGAGAGAGAGAAACTTTTAAAAAATGACCCTCAGCAGTATGCTGCCACATCTTTAACAGTGGGCAACGCAGTGCCTCGAGGTGGCTCAAACTGTCTTTCATTTTCCAGACTTAATGGCTGATTGCAGAAATCAATGTTGCCATTAGTAACAGGGTATTTGTTATGGCATGATTTCCTCTGTTAGGCGGCAGAATGATTACAGTATTAGCGAGGTGCTTTCTTTATAAAGGGCTGCAGATATAACTTTCAATTTACTATCCATTAGTAAAGGGACTTTGGAAATATGGATGAAGGCAGCCTCTTACCTGCTGGTGGGTAGTGATTTTAATTTAGCCATCTTAGGCTAGTGTTTTTTCTCTTTCTTCCCTCAAACAGGGCCAGGACGCTTCAGCATTTCACAGACATTTTGATGACAGATTTTTCTGCTCTGCTATTTTAGACCCCAAAGCTGCATTGCCCATGCAACACAGTACAGTTGAAGACATGCTGAGCGCATCTGGGATTCAAACCTCTCTGCTTGGCTAAACCATCAGAGGAAAGTGCTGTGGTTGGTTCTCAGGACAGGTGAGCCAGGCTGGAATTTCAGAAGGGTTATAGACATAGGTTTGGTTTGGGGAGGAAGACTGGGAGGGAAGCACCAAATGAGAGACCTGTGGGAGTATACTGAAGGGGTGGCGAATGGTGACCTTCCAAGTTCACATCTGTATCTGGAGCCAAATGTTAGTCATCTGTGTATTCCGGCTCCTGAGTTCTAGAGACAAAGTGATGGTAAACAGGGTCAGGCTATAAATGGGACGGAGCAATGCATGGGATGAAAAAATGGGGGGGGGGGGCTCAGCTGGGAGGCCCAACCTTTGCTGGTAGCCAGGGTTCAGGGTTGAAATGACAGCCCATTCCTGGAGAGGGCATCTTGAAGGCAACAGACACAGCCCAGCATCCAGCCTGCCACTTTACATGGTCCAGCCACTCTGACCTCAGAACTGAATAAGGGCCCTAGGCTGATGTACAATACCAACCTACCTGAAGAAGAAGGCGAAGACGGGTGCGGACTGTCCTCTTGGGCGCTCCCTGTCTGCGAGAGGCCACCTCCGGCTCCGCTCTCCTCAGTGATGTTGGAGGAGCCGGGCGTGGTGGAGCGGCTCACCGACTGGGATTCCTGGTCGCTGCCGGAGCCACGCCTCTCCTCCAGGCCCACGTGCAGTGCGTCCTCATCACCCTTTCTGTCTCGTTTGTGGACACGAGAATGCACAACCACCTGGTGGTAGGTGCGGAACACCCGGCCACAGTCCGGGCACTCGGTGGGCTTCTCCTTCATGTTCCCAGGACCCTGTGGATTATATCCCAGTGTCTGGTTGAGCCCATGTGACAAAAACTCCCGACTGCCTTCGAGAGGGTCGAGCTTATTTGGCAGGTCTCTCTGATTGCCCACTTTAGTGCTATGAACCAAATCAGCAGGCATTTTCTGCTTGGAGCCATCTGCTCCCACTAACACATACTCTCGCTTCTCCTTATCAAACAGAACTCCGGCGTTTGCCAAAGTGTCTTCGTGGTTGCGCGGGAGCTGACGGTCTTTAGCTAAGAAGCTGTGTTCCATGGCCATTCCCCTGGCCATGAGCTGCCAGGCCTGATAGCTGTTCACAGGGTCCATTTCTGCAGCTTTGGCAGCTGCCTGCAACCGCTCGATGCAGCTGGATTTCAGCGGTGGAACGAGGTTGAGACAGCCCAGGATGGAGTGCTTGTCGCCCTCGGGGACACCATGAGCCATGCTAGAAATAGGCGACAGCAACTTCCCTAGAGCCTCCTTCTCCTTGGCCGGCAGCTCCCCCTTGCCATAGAGCTGGCTGGGCTCGCTCAAACTGGCTTTGTCCGGGGGCATGAAGCCGCTCTGCAGGCAGGAGAGGTACCTGGAGTACAGGTTGGCATGAGCCTCCTGGGACAGGCCGCCCATGGGCACCGGCACTTCGGGCTCACTGGGGGATTTGTTCTTCACCGAGAGCTTGTTGAGGTGGACCTTCATGTGGTTCTTGAGGAACCAGGGCTCTTTGAAGCGCCGGCCACAGATCTGGCAGCAGTGTTCGAAGGAATCCTTGTGTTTACGCATGTGGCCCTTCAGGAACCAGGCCTGGCTGAACACCTGGCCGCACACCTCGCAGCGGAACTCATTGGCCGACTGCTCCCCACCACCATTGGGGCCCTGGCCTTGGGCTGACTCCGCGGTGATGTGCGCCTTCTCCACGTGGCCGATGAGCTCCTCCTCCTGTGAAGCCGCGAAGTCGCACAAGGTGCACTTGTAGGGCTTGTGCAAGATGCGGATGTGGCGGTCCAGTTCCTCGCGCTTTTTGAACTTTCCCTTGCAGAAGGTGCATCGGAAGCCTGCTGCGGGGGCCACCGGATCCTCCTGCAGGCTGGCCGGCTTGGGTGAGGGCGCCGGGTGGGCCACGTCGGGCACGCTGTGGTTGGGGGGCAAGGCCAAGTTGCAGGTGGCCAGCGGGGCCTGCTGGGTATGCGCCAAGGGCTTGAGATCCGGCCGCGGCTGCAGCAGGCTGCCCTTCATCTGCTTGTCCCGCAGGATGGCCCTCTCCTCCAGCTCGTGCAGCAGACGGTTCTCCTCACGCACCCGCCCGCGCCCCTTCCCCAGGTTGCCCAGCTTGTGGGTCCGCAGGTGGATCTTGAGGTTTCCCTTTTGCGCCGCCCGGTGGTCGCAGTAGGGGCACTTAAATGGCTTCTCGCCGGTGTGAGTGCGCATGTGCAGGGAGAGGATGCTGTTGAACCGGAAGCGCTTGCCACACAGCGGGCACGGGTACTTCCGGTTCTTGCGGGCATCGTCCTCAATGTCACTCATCTGAGACATGATGCCCAGGTTCTGCCCATTGAGGAACTGTTGCAGATCCACGCGCCCATTGAGGCTGGTGTCCACGTCACGGCCCAGCTGGTTGGCAAGTAACGCCATTTGGCTGCCCATAGGCTGGCCGCTCATGGGCACGTGGGCCTTCTCCTCCAGGGCCCCGGGAGGCTTCTCCTCGGGGTTGGGCCGCGGATGCAGCTCAGGGAAGGCATGGCTGAGCTGGGAAGTGATCTGGTGCAACTTCTGGCTCATGGCATACTGGCCGTTGAGGACAGGGCTGCTAAGGTGAGGCTCAGCTTCCGGCGCCGCCGAGGACACTCCAAGGCACAGACTCGCTTCTTCCATCCCTAGAAATAAACGGACAGTACAGAACTGTATCAGGTACTGCGGTGCAAAAGAAGCAACAGCATCAGCTGGAGCGCCGGGGTGGGGGTGTTTGCATTTCATGACTTACCTACACATAATAATGCTCAGGAATTATAGTCAAAAACAATAATAAAAAGATGAATTATTAAATGCCAATTATGCAATATGGCATTGTCCTCCAATTTGTTTGGGGAATGGATCGTCTTCCTTGTATTTTCTATTTACAGACTGCAATTATTCATTCACACTTAAATTATTAATATTTTACCATTTTCAACACCTAATAACAAATCAAGGCTCCTCCGTTCTGTTCTCAACTCTCCTTTCTGTCTGCATAACGCCTCTCTCTACCTGTTGGTTCATTTCAAAGTTTGCCTTCAAGCAGAGTGGCTTTGACCACAAGACCAAACAGACTCACTGGGCACTTTCTTTACTGTTTATTTGGTGTACTCACAAGTCTGAGATGAAAGAGATCATTTTATGATTTGCCCCCTCCCCCCCCCAAAAAGAACCAATGGCATGATATTTACTCGTACATAATAAAACATGATAATGTTTTGGGAAAAAAATAAAGTAAAGGACAGGCTTTAGAACAATAAAAGGGATTTTGCTTTAGTCAACAAAAAGTGCAGTAATATCTCATTAAGCTGATTAGTATGCTGCTTAGAAACAGTACTAGGTGCTGTAACACATGATTATAATCATAAAAATCCTTCAGTGTTTGCAAGGAAGCATTAACGAGGTATATTAAATTTTAAGGAGACTGTGAGTAGCAGCTTTGCAAACCTCAGAGATTAAGATTTAACCCTTATGTGACGAACCACTGTTATTTTGTCATTTGGTGACTGTGTCCATCATAAGGACACATGATCCCCTGCTGGATCGCTCAGTGCAGCAAGAAGACCATTCATGCTTGGGTGGCAGTAGGCTTGTACCAGATAACGGGTTCCCCTGTCTTTTGGCTGGCAAGATAGCCCAGGCAGAGACTTTGATTGGCCTTAAAGAGATCTTTTATAGAACTAGATAAAAACCAATTAAAATCCAAGGATGATGCCATAGGAAATCGCAACCAAGTTTGAGTGTTTTTAATAACTTTCCCAATATACAGTAATGAGTACAAATTGTACCTGCAGTATGTGTTTTGCAGAAAATTAGAACTCAAAGCTGTTTGTTAAACACAAACACTCAAAAGCTAGTCTGTGTAATTGTCTTTAATAGTCTCCTCTGCCCCCTCCACAGCCTGTGCAGAACAGCAGACACCAGACTGTTCCAGGTGGGTCAGAGGGCAGGATCTCCTCCACATTAGAGCATGCAGGGAGCGTAGCTTAGAAAGGCAGTAAGCCCACACCTGGATTCCTTCTGTTTCCATATATGCTTCCCCCCAAAGAGTCCAAGTTCATTTCCTGCTCCTAGAATGGGTCTGTACATCTCTCCTCTTTGATTTTTAATTTTTAGGATTTACTTCTCTTTTGTGTGCATAAGTGTTTTGCCTGCATGTATGTAAGTTCACTTGTGGGTGCAATGGCTGTGGAAGGCAGAAGCGGGTGTTGGATCCCCTGGAACTAGAGTCACTGATAGTTGTTAGCTGTTGTGTGAGTGTTGGGAACCAAATCCAGGACCTTTGCAAGCAGTGCCAGGGCTCTTAATCACTGAGCAATCTCTCCAGCCCCATGTATCCTTTTTGCATCCCAGTATTAAAGTGTATTGGCCAGCTAGATGGTCCAGAGGTATGTTTGACCTCAGCCAGGACTGGGAGCCCAAGTAACTGCCTCTGGGGGACCTGGAGGGCCAGAGCTCAACTGCAGAGCAAGTGCATTCAGTCGCAATTGAATCTGCTGCTTGCTGGGCCACCCACCACCAGACATCTGGTGTGTGTCATGGAGGGTCTTCAGTGATAGAATGACTTCCTTGGCAGAGGAGAGGGGCTGTGGTCCATCTTGCAAGAGAGAGGAATAAAAAGACAAGAATATTTAATTTTAGGGGGAAGAGGGACCATAGTCTGGAGTGGGGTTAACTGTGTCCTTGAATGAGTGCATGGACGACTCTGCAACATGTTCACACACATCTCCATAGATGTGTGTTCCCTTGTAGCAAAAGAAGCTTCTAATTCTCCATCTTCAGTTTTCAGAACTGTCAGGAGATAGTTTGTCATGGAGAGTCTAGCAGTCATTCAACACACAGGCTGAATTCTCACTGTGTGCCAGTCCCGGTCAATAAAGACATAAAGGGTATCACTGGCAGGCTCCAGGACTCGCGACATCCCCTGGGTAGCAGGGAGGGGCATGCTCAGAGTGTAGCAACTCCTGGCCGCTCCAGGTGGCCATGAATGTCCTCCAAGGCCCTGTCTGGAGCCCTTTCTATACCATCTAGTCCAATCCAGCTCTGCTGGCTCCTCTCCTGAGCAAATATGGATCCTGACCCTGAAACCACATGACAGTGCACAGAATTCCACCCAGCAGCTCTAGGGAAGTTTGGAAAGTCCAGAGCCAACATGGCTGGCCCACTTTCAAGGGCTTCCCAGTTGGCCAGCTCCGGAGACAATGAATCCAGGAAGACGGGCTATTTTCAGGTTGTTAGCCGGGCCGATACCAATTCAGCAGATGAGCAGGGGTCTGGATATACAGGCAGCAAAGCTCCCACCAGGTTAGATGAGGGACATCAAGTTGAAGGCCACACCAACCCCCACACCAGCCAACCACTGAACTTGGAAGTCTTCAGGGTCAGTTTGATTACAGAATTCTTTTATTTTGCTCAAAACACAATTTTTTTTCCTAAGTCAACATAGTTTGTTAAACCCTTAAACAACTGGTATTCAGAGACCATTACTAATGCTTCAGTGAAGGGACAAGAGAACATTCTAGAATGTATTTCCCCAACTCTTCAGAGTTGACTTCTTAAAGCAGGTCAGGATTTACAAGACCCTTCGCACCCACTCTGATGGAGGTTGTCATCCCTAGCCCCTCTATCTCACCATCTAACTGCCTTCATCATAGTCCTCTCCAGTAGGTTAGTGTGTCACCACTACATTTTAAGGTCATGTCTCTTTCTCCATGTCAACTTTGAGCAGGAGTGACACCCTAGGGCTTGGTGCAGAGTTGGCTCATTTGGAGTTCAGTGTCTCCTGACTGCGGATGAGTGAACATACTCTATAAGCACTGCCCGTAGAAGAGGTCAGTCCCCAAAGAAGATTCACCCTCACTTCAACCTCAGCTTTTCACATGTTCAAAAACATTTGCAGTTCAGTTCAGCTAAGGTGTCAGGCTACCACTCAGAAGTCAAAGGCCTAAAATCACCAAGGAAGAGCCATCGTCACCATTTCCCTTCATCTAGGTGCCCATGAAGACCATCCCAGGCTTTGGCACTAGGGGATAGAGAGCAACGACTCCCTTCAGGAATTGACTACCACAGAGCCCCTGGGAGATTCTAAAGTTTCAGAAGGCCCAGCCAGCTCCCAGGAGATGCTCCTAAGATTCTGGCCCTTGAGATGAGCCTGTAACAAAGCCCAGGTAGAGATCTCTACTGCAATTTGGCCCTGGATCAGAGCACATCTCAGAGCGCTTCTTGAAATCCTCAGATTCCACAAGGAGGTGTCCCAATGCTGCTGCAAGGGGACATTCCTACTCACTGCCTGCTCTCCACTCAGAGCAAGAAAGGAGAGCACGAGTTCTTGGAAAGAGAGTTGAGGTAATTGATATCCTGTCCCTGGGCCAAAGCAGCTGAGGCAGGACAAGCTGGCCTCAGGCCCAGCGTGGGAGTCCCAAAACCTGGGCCAGCCCCAGCTTCTCCACACTTACCCATCCACAATTCATTTAAGCTTCACCTCAGCCATTCAGTAAGTATTAGCCAAAAAACCTCGTAATGTACCTGCCCTCAAAGGCCTGTGGGCTGAGGGCCACCACAGGGATCGGATAGAAAAGTCTCTACAAGGACAGCATCCAAAGTTAGAGATAGTAAAAGACATTACAGATTGTAGTTCTAGTACACTGTGTGTGTATGTGTGTGTGTGTGTGTGTGTGTGTGTGTGTGTGTGTTTCTGTATCTGTGTGTCTGTGTGTGTGTGCATGCAGGCACTCGTGTACCCAGGTACATAAGCATTCATATCAAATGTAACTGTTGAGAGTGGGGGAGGGATTCCTCCACGGTGGCGCTCCAGAAACTCACACAAATGCATACTGTGGGAAACTAAGGGTCATTTATCCTGCTATTAAAGGATTGGATCCAGCTGCTGCTATAGGCGCTCATGGGACTGGATGAGGTGGGCTACCTGCGAGGACTCCATTGTTCTGATGGAAGGTGTTATTACTCCATTCCCCAGTCTTCCAGGGGAACATAGTGAATGCCTCCCCATGGGGACCACACTGCTCCTTCAATGGTCCCACAGTGACTGTCTGTCAGTGTCCCATCCCCCCTTTTCAATGGCCAGGTCTTGACAGGCAGGGCACATACACACACAGTGCTGGGCCCTAGTGGCCAGTTTCCAGAGAACTCTTAAGACCATATGCTCACACCAGCTCCTACTAGCTTCCACTGTCTGGGAACTCAGCACCTATGCTGTAGGAACTGGGGGCCTACATCAAGAAATTAGGTGCCAGCAGAGGACAGGCCACAACCCGGGCCTTCAGTCAACTGAGCAGCTGGGCCCTCAGAGTACTACAGCCAACACTGCCACGTGTATAGAAAACCCTGAGCTCAATTAAGAGCAGGTAAATCCACTGAGGACATAACTTGGGGATAGAATGCTTGCCCCCCACATGCAGGAAGCCCAGGGTTCAAGCCCTAGTAACACACACACACACACACACACACACAAACAAGCTGTTCAACAGTAAGAATATCTTGTCTTCAACCCATGGCTCCAGCATATGAAGATGAGGATCAGAAGGAACCAATGAATACATAATTACCCAGTTCTGGAGCCGTCTGCCCTCACTAAGGCTAGAAAGTTAGAAAGCCTGAGCGCTGGGTCACAATGGGGGGCACT